AAATGTTCACGGGTCATGCCATCAGCAGCCATAAATAAGAGATGATTCTGGAAAATAATTTTAAAAAATCTTTCTGTAAAAAAATAAATAAAAACAGCTGCATACAATTAAGAAATATAATTTTATTGAAAAACACAAATGACACGGACTTCCCTGGCAGTCCAGTGGTTAAGACTACATGCTTCCTCTACAGGGGCCGCAGATTCGATCCCTGGTCGGGGAACTAAGATCCTGCATGCCACGCGGTGCAGCCAAAAATAAAACATCAAAAGGAAATGATTTTCTAAGAAGTCCAAATGCTCTGAATATGAAGAATTTTCTACTCTACTAAAAAAAAAGTTTTTTGCCTTAAAGTACGCAAAGAGAAGTGAGGCTAGAATTCATCTCAGAAATAGATTAAGTGGACACCAAAGAATATTTAAGCTTCAGAAGGAAAAGAGGGGTTATCAATGAACTGTAGCTAAGATCACAGGCTCCTTAACTGCAAAGAGAAAAAAAAATCTGTGATAAGCTATAGTACAAACCAGAATTCATTTTAAAGATAAAACTTCAGAAGCTCCAGGGCCAAAGATGCAACCTCATTTCCCCTTTACTCAGCCACTATGTGTCAGTGACTCTGATTTCACTGACACAAAATAATCACCTCCTGTTAGCAAAACCTAAGGGAGTGATTCTCAATCCTTAGGGAGCAAAAGAATCCATTAAGGGGTTGTTAAAATGTAGATTCTTGGCCCCCACTCCCAGAAAGTGCTCACCAGGTGAGTCTAGGTTGGGCTTAGGAACCCGCGTTGTAACAAGCAGTCATGTGATGACGGTAGAGATCATCAGAGGTCCATATGCCAAACTATTCTCTAAGGCTATGGTGCCCAAACTTTCGGTGGAGACCCATTAATAAGTCTTGAAATCAGCTTAATGTGACAGCATTTGAAAACAAACAAAGATGTTAAAATAAACAAATAAATAAATAAAAGAAAAAAACAAAACAGAAAATGTTAGCATACAGCGTGCAGTCAATTTTTGGATTCATTTACATATATGAATGTGGGTGTATGTGTGTCCTGAATTGTGAGGCAAAATGTATTTTGGACTGTGTCTTAGCCAAGAAAGTTTGAGAGGCAATGGCCTCTGGAGACACGAGTATCACTTCCCTGTGACTCCCTCACTGTCTACCTGCCGTGCCCCCATCTAAGTACCGAACCATCACTCCAGCGCCAACTTCCTCCTCCAACCACAAAGGCCCAAAAGGGAAGTGAGGCTGTGGTGCTTTGTTCTCAAGCGTCAGGAAGGATAACTAGCTTTTCAGGTTCAGGAATGCACGGGGTCGACCTGACGGAAGACCTGCCGGGACGTGGCAGAGCCTCAGACGCAATAGATAGTGTGAAATAAACAAAAACCATGTAGCCTCTCACCTGAGCTCTGCATTTTCAGAAGGTCTGAAGGAAGAAAAGGTATTGGTGAGGAGGACTGGGTGCAAAAGGAGGGGCAGATAATGGAGAGGAAGTTCCAACTCAAGAAACTGGAAGATTAAGGCCACGCTCTCTTCTTTCTGTATCAGGAGATGGAGTGGTTTTTGCTTTTTGTTTGTGTTCCCCAGGAAGAGGGTGGATACCGGCCCATTCATTCCTATCCTCTTGAGGCAGCTTCTAGTGCTAGTAAGAGTTTGTAGGTACTGGCTTGGATACGGACAGATCCACAACTTGTCCTCATGGTCAGCTTTCACCAAGCGGCACACAGCCACGAGAAAGACGGCAACTAAATAACACCAAGTGTGTTCAGAATGGTGTGCTATTAACCCTACCCAGCCTTTCCACTCTGGTCTTTGCAGCCCCTTGGGAATTCCTCCACTAGGTCTATGCAGAAAAGTCCACCCAAGGGGCTCAGGGAACTGAAAACCAGCCTTCATTCCACTTGCCAAGCTGTGCAGTCTTAACTTGGGGTTATTTTTAACTTGAGGAAGTGATGTTTTTCTATTTCCCTGGTCCCCTCTCCACACCCCCCCCAAAAGAGTACCTTTTCCTCACTTCTGTGAAGGTTTAGTACAGGCTAATAGCACCCCAAGGGGAAGATAATTCAATTGCATCAACAAGGCACTGTGCCTTTTCATGGTGTCAGGTAATCCTCCAGTGTTCAAGGGATGCCCATAATCAAGGCACAAGCGCAATTACCAGTCTCTGCTCTGAGTAAAGTGACTCTTCTAATGACTATTTCTCCTCTCGAGCATTTCAAAATTGGAGAATGTGTTTAACAACAAACATGTGGACGGCCTATCAGGGTAATTGAATTCACTTAAAAAAGAAAAGATACCCGAGATGTGAGCATAAACCACCCCCAGAATTCCATGTTGTCAGGCGGCAGGCTCCTCCGCTACATCTTCACTTAACAAGATCATTTTGGGTGTCTTACAATGCCCAGGACATCACCTACTTCTGAGCATCTTATTTTGTTTGGTATCAATCTGGAAGAAGAGTGAAGCCACATGGGAAATGCACTTACTGCTACCATTGAGGGGAAATGACTGAAGTGGAGGAAGAAATAAGTAACCCATTTATTAGGTCAAGTGGGTCCAGTGGAGTCTGTGATCTGTGGCCTCTCAATTCACACCCCCCGACACAAATGTTCCAACCAGTCCATCCCCTGCCACTCATTGTGCTGTTAAATGCATGACGCCTTTTTCTTTAAAAAAAAAAAAAAAAACAAGATCTATTTTCAGCACATTTTTTAAAACCTCAGCTATAACAACTTGCACAGCCGACTGACTGTCGTTATCTTTGCTAACCGCTTTCAGTACAGGAGGGACGGCGAGACAAGCCTTTTGTATTGCTGGGCTATCAGGAATGTCTCTTTGAGGAGACTGCTTCACTCCAGGAGGAAAAACGGCTCTATTTATACTTGCTATTTCCCTATCCTGCAGCTGGAGGTAATAAATGTCTGCTAAGAAACACTGCCGTGGGAGGGGCTAAAAAGAGAAAGAATATAGCACACAGTAGGCGCTCACTGGTATCCTTTTCCTTTGGTGCTGAAGGAAGGTGGGTTACCCAGCATGCTCCCCTCTGCCTGGGCAGTAGACTTTTGGAGAAGAGGGGAAGGCAGGGTTCCTAAATAACCGAGGGAATCAGGAAGGGCCAGCCCTTTTCTTGGTACAGCAGAATTAGCAGTGACTCTGCAGCGTCTGCAATTTAATCACCAATGGAGTCCTTACAGCCTCCTAATGGTGTTGGTCAATTAGCACATTAGGATATGTGACAGGTGGTGAAGGCTGGTGTTTACCAGACAGACATCAATTCACGGTAACTGGATAAACAAACTAACTTATGATACGGGGCTAGAGCTGGGTCTCCACCCTAAAGTGTCAGAAACTTCTTTGCTTTTCTGTAAAGTCTGTAATGCCTCTTAATGCACAAGGCTCTCGTTGGCAGATCTGCACTCCCTCAGTATACTGCTATCTGTGACATCCTTTTGTACATGTTTTTTTCTTTTTGGTACGTGGGCCTCTCACTGTTGTGGCCTCTCCCGTTGTGAAGCACAGGCTCCGGACTCGCAGGCTCAGCGGCCATGGCTCACGGGCCCAGCCGCTCCACGGCATGTGGGATCTTCCCGGACCGGGGCACGAACCCGTGTCCCCTGCATCGGCAGGTGGACTCTCAACCACTGCGCCACCAGGGAAGCCCTTGTACATGTTTCTTTCTGTGCTTTGGAATGCCTTCCCACCCTCCACCTTCCTGCGGAGTCAACACCTGCATCTAGGAAGGTTTTATCTTCCTCTGTAGTGGGTTCAGGTTCCTCCCCAACCCTGCCCGCCAGCCCCCTACCTCGTGCCGTCCCTCAGGGCAGCCTAGTCTAGCGTCTATTGTACTTATCCCACCATCTTCCTACTGTTTCCTGGACTGTCTCCCCATTAGACCATGTGCTCCCTGGGGATTTATAATACATTCTTTAAGTAAATGAACGCACAGTCTATGCATCGAATGAATGAATGAATGAATGAGTGATGAAAGAATGAACCCAGGATTGGAACACAGAATTCAGAACCCAACTTCCTATACAATCCTTTCTTTCACTATATCCGTTGTCAGCTGCAAAACGGCTACTTTTAATAGTTAGGGAGACTGAAGTCGTTAGAGGAAAAAGGGAGTAGTTGGCCTTTACCTCCTCTCAACCTGACATTTATATGCTCTTCTGGGTAAGACCGATAACTTATCTCTAGTTAACAGATTATTAACTACAGAGAGGGTCTTGGCTCTCAAGAAAAGTAGGGTGAGATTGTTACCAACTATACATCCTTATGTATTAGCAACAAAACAACAAAAAGCATTAGAGTTCTACAAAAGAAAACCAGAGAAAGCTCCCTCCCACTGCTTTCCTTGACCTGGGCTCCACAGACACTGTCACCTACACATGCCTTGTTCAAACTCTGCCAGCAACTCAGATTCAGCTGTTTGCAATCATAGGTTTTCTTCCATGAAGCAAAGTGAGGCAACTATCATAGCAGAGATGGAATATAACCAGGGCTTACCCTGTCCTGACCCAAGACATCTAAATGACATCTCAAAGAGAACTTCATGTCCCCTGAATAATATAACCGTCTACTGAGAAGTCTGTAATTGATGATTAAGCCTTCCAGCGTCACCCCTGAAACCCCTTTTCAGTGAAGCTGGGAGTGTACGACATTTAGAAAATCCTTCCCCCTTCCAATGAAGTTGGAATAACAGACCAACTCATTCAACCTCCACGTGACACTAGAACCTCAAACTTCTGTGAGAAGATTTTGGCCATAAATACATTTCTGGTAAATTCACTGCTTGAAAGCCAGTGTTCCCCGTCTTATGAGATCACCTCTCAGAGATCACGTTTTGAGAACAATCGGCCTCTGATGATCTGCCTTTAAGCTCTAGCTTCTCTCCTTGGCTGAGCCCACAGTAGAATGTCATGATCATGCTTGCATCGGGGTGGCCACGCTGAACAGAATGTGACCCTAAGGGAAGGAAAGAGAGTTTCCTGACCTTGTGCAGCTCCACAGGAGTTGGGGACATGATCTCCTTCATTTCCTGCTTCATTTTTCTCAGGGTGACAGACTTCCTGCCCACATCCGAGGGCAGAGTGTTGCTCCGAGTGGTCTGGCTATAGTGTGGCCGCGAACTGCTCCGTTCCTGGAAGCTGGCCTGTCGCCCCAGCTGACTGCGAGGTGTAGGGGCCTCGTGATTCAAACTCATCGTGCTCCCCGACATGATTGTTGCCTGTGGCATTGACAATTTTCAGAAACAATTAAGCCACGGACTAAGTAAAGCGTTTCGTTGCTCAACATGAAGCACATTTCTCCTTCTGCCCAGTCAAAATACGGTCTCTTCAGGGCATAACCAAAGGCTGGAGAATGGACGTACTAATTGCACCATGAAAGTCTGGGAATATGCTTCACAAGTGACATGTATAATGCACAACTCAAATCCAATTTAAGTACTTAAGCCATTGAGTTTATTTAATCAAATACCACCCCTGGCAGTTTGGAGGCAAACTGAAAAGCTCTAACATCTGCTTACTGCAAACTACATTTTAAGCATTAACTTTCCACTGAGTGGGATCTAAAGATGGGATTCACGAGGCAGCCTTCAGTATATCTTACAGAAATGAACTTAAGAACACCTCAGTGGGGACCAGGCTGACCCCATTTGCAATGGTGCCTCTAGCCCCACCTGGAGGTAACAATGGGCTGAAATGAGGCTACTGATACAAAGGCGAGGGCTTCTACCGAACGCTGGCTGCCTAGCTCTGGCATATTGTCTTTCCTTTGGCCACGTGGCCGGCCGGAGAAGTTGGTAGATCAGCTAGGTCTCCACATCATTTGGCGTAGGTCAGTGTTTCTTAGAAATGACCTTTGTGTAAGATCCTCAGAGAGGTTAAGGAATAATCATTGATCACGCTACCGTATTCAACCCTTTGCTCAAAAGTGATGAGACCTGGGTTGGATTTTACCAGTGAATTGAGAAGTTTGTTCACTTTCAAATATGTTCCCTGCATAATACACAAGGAATGCTAAGATTAGATCTCAAAAATGACTGAGTCTCAGAAGTGGAACAAAAAGAGCATTTGAAACCAATATCATGCTGGGAATGTTCATTTCTCATGGTTAGAGGATGCTAAAATTCTGAAAATATGCCTGTAGCCAGCTGTGTTCCTCCGTATGATGGTTATATAATGGTGTACCAGCATCAGTGAATCTGCATGAAATCATGGATACAGAAAACAAATTCCACGTGCCACGTGACCGGCTACAACATGATCTAGTGGTGTTACTACCGATGCTAAAAGTAACAGAAGTGTAATTTGTTGAGTCCTTTGAATGTATTCACGCATTTAAGCCTCACAACAACTTTATGAGGTAAGTGCTATTATTCCTCCTAATTTACATGTGAGGAAACTGAGGCACAAAAAGGCTGACCTACACACGGTCCCATAGGTAGTAAATGAGCCAAGTGCACTATCTAAAATTACTGATCAGGAGGGAGTACTGCAAAGTGAGTAGAGTTTTCATTTGTTATCTTGCTAAGATTTATAATTCCAAGCTTCACCTGGTGTTCAGCTATACACATGCCACTAACAAGATCTGTGAATGACAGCCAAGTATTAGCACACAGGTAGGTATATCTACAACTCTGCTGAAAAAGAAACAAAACAAGTGAACTTATCAATATCCTGACTAGATCAGTTATCTTACTGATAATTTTTTTTTTTTTTTCGGTATGCGGGCCTCTCACTGTTGTGGCCTCTCCTGTTGCGGAGCACAGGCTCCAGAAGCGCAGGCTCAGCGCTCCGCGGCATGTGGGGTCTTCCCGGACCGGGGCACGAACCCGCGTCCCCTGCATCGGCAGGCGGACTCTCAACCACTGCGCCACCAGGGAAGCCCCTTACTGATAATTTTTAAAAAAACAATTGTAAAAAAAACCTCATGGGTCATTGAGCATTTACAAATGCTAAGTACCACATTGTGTGTGTATGTAGCATACCATTAAATACTTATAATAACTCTATATGGTAAGGTATTATAATTATTATACCTCCTCATTTCACTTAAGGAAGGGGATGCCTGGATAAGTGAAGCAACTTGCCCAAGAGTCTGGGATTACTACTTTAGCAATGTCTCCAAAACTCTTATTCTTGACTATGAGGCTATATTGGTTCTCAGTCAAGTATGAGGTTGAAACACATAAAACTGACTTTGTTTAGTAAATGAAAAAAACCCTTAACATTTATCCAGTGTGGACTATCCATATAATGGTTTATTTCAGATGAATCCCCTTTAAATTGAAACCTTTCTATTACTAGCGTTGCTGGTAACATGGGACATCCTTTTCTTTTATGGCATTTAACTCACACATATCATTTCCTTGTTTAATCTACTGTTACTGATAGCATCTGATGGCTGTTTTCTTGCTGTGGTGACCATCCACCTATTGTTTTTACCTATTTAGACTAGCTATTTGCTTTGTTAACATTTATTTTTAATGCTCATTTTTCATTAGACCAACAGGAAACACACTGGAAGTCAAATAATCACTACAGCCGGGAGACAACACTTCTGCTTTGATGAGCCTTAGCCACAACAGAAGTTACAATCTGATCTAGAAAGGGTTCTAATGGAAGCAGTGACCGACTATCAAAAGGTCTTCAGGTCGAGTTTTCAAAGGATAGATTGTTTTGTTTAAAGTGAATGTAAATTGAATGAGTGATATTGCTGAAGGAATACTAAAATTAGAACACAAATACAAAAACTAAAATAAAAAGTAATTATTTGAAGTTTTCTAGGATTTGTTTCTGCTTCAAGAGTATGTGTTGCCTGTTTTCATTTTGCACAATTCATAATTTATATTATACTTTTTCAAAATTATTAGTGAGATGACTGGTATACATACAACTTCGGAGGAGTAGATTTAAGAGTTCTCTATCTGACATTCAGTTAAACCTTCTTCCTATGTTATACTAAGCAAAAGGTAGTTAAGGCAGTACATTCATTACTCAAAAAAGGGGCAAAAATAATTTCTATCAAACATTTATTGTGCCATGTTCTATGTTAAGTGCCGTATAAACATTAGCCATTATAATCCCCATATTTTAAAGCAGAAATACCTGATAAGGAAATTAAGTAACTTGTCCAAAGTCTTAGTTTGAATTTTTCTCTTTTGTTAAAACTATATATTTTTCAGCGCTAGAGCTGAACCTAAATTATTGCTATTAGCAATGGGGAAAATGACTAGTATCATTTTCATTTTCATTTCAATTGTAATCATTTTTCATCTTAGCTAATCTTCTACATTTGTTACAGTGATAGTATGCTTTAACTTTTAATGCTGGATATACATTTCTTATGCAGGAACCTAGCTCCAGTAATATTTTTTGCATAGTAGCTTTTGCAATCAAGGGAGCAGAGTTCATCCAAACTGATAAATGAATTCCCTTTGTGCTAAAAGTGTAAATGAGATTCTAATTTATGGATTTGTCAATCATTCTTCCTAGTTGAAAACTTTAATTTCTATTTGGCTTATTAATTCAACCCATTTTTTTCCCTGGATGTATAATTTCGAGGGCCACACCTGCCAGAAACGATGTTACAGAAAACCTATTGGCCCCTGCGAGATGACTTCTATGCTGACGTATGTTGGATAACTCAATGTCTGAGTGAAAACACAACTTCATTGTACTACTTTTTACATCATCTTCATTTTACCTAATGTAGAAGCTATTAGAAGAATAGCTGCTTCTTCAAAAGAGAAGTATTTCAAAATGCAAAGTGAAAAAGGCGTACGAGCCAAAACACACTTTGAAAAGCAGGAATATGTTCAAAAATTGTGAACTGAGATCTTTACTCAGTTTGAGAGAATGCTGACCCTTCTCCATATGGGAAGTGGTAAAAGTTTAAATAAGCCACCTGATACTTAAGCACTCTACTTTTTTTGAAAGTTTCATAGAAGGGAACCAATTGCTAACATCTTAATGTATTTAAATTTTATAGGATTATCCATCTCCAGGTCCTTTAACTTGTGCTCTGAAGCTGCAATTCATGCCAGGTAATAATCATGATGTTTACAAATTCAAACTAGTATTTCTCTTTATAATTCTCTTTGCAGATTCACAGACATTAGAATCACATAAAGTATCCACACATGCATTTGAGAAGCAAAATAATATAAAGATGAGTCATCATTTTAGAATTGCAAGAGTTCCACCCCATTAGGCCATTCACATTCCTTATGGTGACTTGGGGACCTCATATGACATCAAAATAAAAATGAAACTTCTGCCACTTTATTTTTTACAGCTCCGAAAATTTAAAAGAACATAAAAGGAAACAGTCCAGGACTTCCCAGACCAAAGTGTGAATACCGTCAGCAAATTTATGGCTTTGATTAAAGAACTCCCCAGGAGTTCAGCTATTATACTCCGTCTCTCTGCAACTCCTTGAATTCACACTAAATTAACAAAGAATCAGGATTTGCAATTAACAGCAATGTAGTCTGTAATATGTTGGCTGGCTGCTTTTCAAACAGACTGGCTTTTTTCACCAGAGGCACTGTCATCTACATTAAGGGCAAAATGAAGTAAAGTAAAATTTCCTCTTATGTTCCTCTTCACGATCAAATTAATGTCTCTACCAGGTACAAATGAAAACATGCCAAAGAAACCTTTCTAAAGCAAATAAGAGAATGAGAGATGCCACTGCTGGGAGACTTAGCTCGCCCCAAACGATCCAGTGGCAAACAGGTACAGTCAGGGTTAGCAGGGAGCAAATGGCAGAAGCCACAGGTCAGTAAGCTCGGCGGGGTGGGGGGGAGGGGTGGAAATGGGGAAAGAAATACTTTTAACTGCATTGGATAAAATCAAATCACTGTCCAGACGGCAAGGGGGCAGGGAAGGCAGTTTCACAAGCAAAAATATAAACATAAAGGGTAGCTACCAAGAGATTCATGTTTCTCAAAGACACACGCCTGTCAGCTTTCTCCTGTGGAAAGGGTTAAAGCTTTTAAATGAACTGGTGTGATCAATGCCAACTCAAAAGGACCAAGAAAACAATGAATGTAGAAACAATAAAAGTAGCAGGACCGAGGCTACCTCGAGTTCTCTGAGAATTCCTGATTGTCCACAGGTTTCCAAATCCTCTAGCGCTTGGGACCAGAAGTTCTCCTCTTGTTCAGCCTCTGCACTGTCCGGAGCCCCTGTAAAACTGTTGTGAAAAACAGTCTGGGTTAAGAACTTGCTGGACAGTTTTTTTTTTTTTTTTTTTTGGTCTCCAGAATCATTCTCTCCTTCATCTCACGCACAAAATAGAGATTCGTTTTGGGTCTGGCTTTCTTCCCACTGTGGCTTCCAAGTCAAGCCAGCTCCAGTAGAAGGATGGTTTAGGAAACTCAAAGTGTCTCAAAGACCAGAAGGACCATGGTCTTACTAATTGAATTTCAGAGTATTCATGGCTGCGTCAACATGGCACCCGTGGGAATATCTGTCAGCTGCTCTGTCCACAGGGAAAGGGAAATCAAACTTTTCTCTAAGAGAGAAAAATATGTTTTCCCCACTCATTACAAACATCAGTATAGAGCCGTTAAGTGCTATCGCTTTTTATGAATTTCCTTAAAATATTTTGGTAAGGGAGCCAACTGCTAAAATAGACCTCTCAGTTGAAAATAGGGAACCCTCAGTTAAAAACAATTTTTTTTCTAATGTAAGTTAATGTGAAACTACCTTCTAAACAAAAGGAGAGGGAACTGGTCATAGAGTGAGGACGCGGTTTACAGAAGTAGAATTTCCTCATGTGCTGCTGCTGTTTTCATTCAGGGCAACTTAGCTCTTGCCCTGTTGTGTGGTGGAGCCCTGCCTCCCACTGGGCAGGCCCAAGTCTTCGAATCTGGACATGGGGCCAGCATGGATGGCGACAGTGGCTTCACACAATGCTTCCAATGCTAGCAGTGGGTGCCACTGGAAGTAGAGAAGTTCACATCCGGCCCAAATGACCCGGAAGCAGTTGGGACAGGGTAGCAGTTGGTGAAAACCTTACCCACTGACTGTGGACCGGTCCCAGTCTTCGTTACTCAGCCCCACATCTGGGTAAGTCTGGCTTCGAGGCTTAGTGACTGGGGACAAACTGCCTCTCTGTTTGGGACTCCTCCAGTCATAGGTGTTGAAGTTGTAGCCTGAGGCCTGAAAGCCAGTGCCTGAAACAAAAACAAGGCATTATATTCTATTTTAGTAACTTGTCTTTTTCTGTAGCTTCCGTTAGTTTGTTCAAGGGGGCTGACTTTAACAGAATTTGGGATCCTGGAGGCCATCAAGACAATACTTAAGTCTTACATTAAAGACACATTCACACCTATTATCCCAAATGAGTCTAACAACAACCCTGAGGTAAGACCCTTAGACCCAAGCAGGAGGAGCCACAGTGGGGGACCTGTGCTTTCTGTGGCTCCTGCCCTCCTCTGTCCGGGTGAGAAATCTGCTGGGGCCTGGGGGCGGTGGTGGTGGAGTATGCCCAGACCTGTATCTAACCCTTTCTAGCGCAAGCTCCAGAAGGTGAGAACCCTGACTTTCCTGCCCAGACACCCTGCGTCCACTTCCAGGTGGAAGTCTGTCCTTTTGAGAGTGGAATTTGCCACCAGATGTGGATTCCCGGCCCAAGGAGTGGCCAAGGGGCGCTGGTTGCAGGAGTGTGGACTAACCGTGGCTAAACCGGCTGGCGCCCACCAATGTTAGGGATGAGCCCGAGGATTATTTCATCCACCAAGAAATGACATTGTTAGCGAGTAGGGGGGTCAAATAACTACAGCACCAGCAATAATGGCAAACACAAGGTGGGCATTTACTATGCAACCAGAACTTCATTAAGTGCTTTATTTATTTATTTTTGCGGTACGCGGGCCTCTCACTGCTGTAGCCTCTCCCGTTGCGGAGCACAGGCTCCGGACGCGCAGGCTAAGCGGCCATGGCTCACGGGCCCAGCCGCTCCGCGGCATGTGAGATCTTCCCGGACCGGGGCACAAACCCGTGTCCCCTGCATCGGCAGGCGGACTCTCAACCACTGTGCCACCAGCGAAGCCCAAGTGCTTTATTTGTATCACCTTATTTATTCTTCATAATTATCTTTGAAGGTAGATACTGTTATTATTTGCATTCAAGGACCTAGGGGTACTTGCACACTTTCCTGGGGGTTCCAGTCCTAACTTTAGGAGAATCAGTTTTCAGATCCTCAAATTCCACAGTCAGGTCTTCCCCAAACCGGCCTCGCTGAGAAAGTTCTGGGAGGATCTGAGATCTGTCAAGTCTCCCTTCTTACTTCCCCATTCACAATTGTTTTCCTGCCCCTTTACAAATGAAAGACCTACTTCTCATCCATATCAAACCTTTGAATGAGCTTGGCCCCGGGATATAAAAACTCCTAGGCATCAAATCAAGGGATAATTCGGGAAAGCCTCATTCCTGAGGGCAGGTCTTGGAGTGGAGCCTTATTTCAATCAGGCGCAGATTCAGCGCAAGGCTTTTACCCCCTCTCATCCATCTATCTCCCTGCATCTCAGAATCAGAATTCAGAAGGACAGCTGTCAGGGTGAGGAGGTGGGCACATTATGATGTTTATTTGAGCTGCAAAACAAAGACTGACTTCCTTTCCGACAGGGAATTAAGTCTGATTGGCTTGATGGGTGACAGTGAGGAATGGCTTTGACGATGAGGTTATATAATGGACAATTTTCCACACATTTGAGCTAAATCTGTGGCTCCATATTTTGACAAAAATATATTTAAGCATATTTACCGCAAACTGGAAATGACAGTTTTTGCAAGTATTATAATTTGAGGAGAAAAAGGTTAGGATGACAGCTTTAAGTGTGTTGCGGGGTCTCAGTTTTTCAAAATTCTTCATGAGGTGCCTTCAGCTGGGAGAGCAGGGGCTGACTGGTAGGTCTGACTTTATGGTTCGTGCCGTAACCACCACACACGGCTTCCTCTACTCCTTCAGGCTGTGACCCGTTACATGTGTGTGTGTTTACGTGTGTGTACCGGGTTGCAATATTACATACATTTCTTACTATGCTTAAAACATATAATCTAGCAAACAGGCCTAGGGCTCCAATTTCACATACAATTCAATGACTCAACCACATAAGTTGACTGTCTCCATGCCAACCTTTTGTCTGTCTTCCCCACTCACTTTCCCTCTACTCGTTTGGTCCTATAACGCCATCCTCACTATCAGTTAGAGCCCAGAGAGAGCAGGATGGCCAAGGGTAACGTGCTCTGATCAAAAGGATTTAATCTCCAGCATGCAGGGGAAAGCACACAGCCGCATGATGGAAATACTGTACGTATCTCCTGTTTTAGGAAACCAAGGATAAGAAGTCCTTGGCACAGAGGAACTATTTACAGTTCAAAATCTCATTTTCTTTCTTGGGTAACTGCAGAGTGTGGCTGGACATTTGGGGAGAAGTCTTGTGTGATGAATGTGCAGTTTTCTGTCAGAAGTGTTGAATTAAGGGAACACATGAGTCTCCTCTTGACGGGGGGGTGACTGGGCAACACTGCATTTCTCCTGGCTCCGTCTGACAGGCTATGCATCTTCTCCTTCTGAGCCAAATAAACTAACCCCCAAGTATTTACATGAAGTCTCTTAATAAGAGTTAGGGGAAGCCCACGCCTCACTTCCCTTACCCAGCTTTAAACTTGCTAAAAGCCAAATGCTAAATGGTTGTGTCCTCCGGGGGAGCATCCTTTTCTGATAGGCATTAACCCATAGGACCGTTCAGTTCCCAGGGGAAATTCCAACATGTTTTAAACTGAGCAGATTAACTTTCTGATTTTCCTTCCAACTGTTGTAAGTAGTTCCTGGTGACCTGGGCAAGAGTGTAAGGATGGCCTTGAGCAGATGTGAAGCATCAGTACTAGGAAAATGTCCCCTCCCTGCCGAAAGGCGTGTCTATCTATACCAAGGATGCCTTGTCTTAATAAGCATTATTAAATGATTATTGCATTACAACAAAGCAGGGCACGAAAAGGAGATACAATTCAAATATTTTTGCATTAGGCATGAACTTAGAAGACCTGGGTCTGGTCCATGCTATGCTAGCACAGGGACTGAAGTAAGAGAAGACCTAGGTTCAAATCCCAGGTTTGCCACTTCCTTGCTCTGCAGTCTTGGCCAATTCACCTCCAATGTAAAATAGGGATAATGACACGTGCTTCACAAGGTTGATATGAGAATTAAGGAGGATAATACACACAAACACTCATGAACATGCCTGGAACACAATGAGGTTTTAATGAAAGCCTCATTTAATGTTCATTACTTTTATTATGTACTAAGTCACTCAACTTGCCAAGATCTCAGTCTCCCTATTATAAAACAGGGAAAGTAGGAAATCAGCATTGCTAATTCAGGAGATGTTCCAGCACCTCTAAGACTTGTCAGGTACTGCTGGAGGAGCTGAAATGTAAAGATAATAAAACTAGGTTCCTGTCCTCCCAAACTGCACAGTTTAGTATAGGTTTTGGAGAAAGAGGAGGAGAAACAGGCATAGATAGAAAATGAGAATTCTAATAGCATGTGAGGAGTGTTATCCTTTCAGTCTGAACACACTGAGAGAAAAGAATAGAGATCTGTCTGGGGGCCAGAATACAGGTCATGAAAGGTGTCAACGGAAAAGCAACATACAAGCTGGGACTTAGAGGATAAGCTGGCATTTACTAGTGGAAGTACCGCAGAAGCAGTGCAGGCCTAGCAAGAGGGGCTGGAAAGGTGCACTCGTGATAAGCGCCGCTCCCTGGCCTCACGTTCCGTCAGTGGGTTCCTGCTTCACTCTCATGGAGGGAGCAGTAGTCCAGGGATTTCCTGGTCCCTCGTATCGTCTGCACTTAGTCCTCCCCAGAGGAAGAGCAGCGATTTACCCAATGGTCCAGTTCTGGAAAAGAGCACCGGGAATGTACCCTTGGGCCCTTCTTGGCTCTCTCCAGACCCATTCTCTCCCACTGCTGCTGCACCATTAGGCAAGCAAACCTGGGTCCCACTCCTGGGGCTCACTGAACTTGAAGGAGGCAGGAGGCCAAGACTGCACAGTTAGCTGACTGTGGCAGACTACTAATTGCCTATCATAACATCCATTCTCATCTTCAACTTTTTACTAGAATACCAGTTTTGAGGGTGGACATATTACTGCTCAGGATAAGACTATATTTCCTAGCCTCCCTTGAAGTTGTGTTAATTTAATTATGTAGAAAGTTCTGGCCAATGACATGTAAACAAAACTTCCGGAAAGTCTCCTTACAACTCTCTTTCCTGCTGCCCGGAATGTAGATGAAATGGCTGGAGCCCCAATAACTATCTTGGACGATGTGATAAACCCAAGGATGGAAGGCAAGTACTAAGCATAATAGAGAAGAAACACTTAAGAGCATGGGTCTTTGATGACACTGTTGAATTATATACTAGTTCTGAAATGCCTGCTCCTTTTTGAGTTAAGTCACTGCAATATTAGGGTTTTTAGTTCTATTCAGCTAAGTCAAATCCAACTGATATGCTGGGGTTAGAGTTTTCTTTCTAGATCTGACTTTCCCCTTACTTAAGTCCCAACATCAGACCTGGGTTGGGGTAGGGAAATAACAATCCTGACTCTGGGTGTACATTCAATCCAGATTTTCTGACAACCCCCCGACTCTGTCAAAAAAAAAATTAAGATGTTGATATTTTAATCCATTGCTGACTCCAATTTCTATTTCCCAACAGATTTAGAATTGATAAAGGCAGGGACTGATTAACATCAAAACACCTAGCGCTATCAAGGTACCAAAGACCAAAGCTTGCTTAGAGAAGAGTGAGCACAGGATGAGAAGTAAAAGGTACTGTGGGGAAGTGTCGGGAGATGGGATCGATAAAGCAGTTGGGGACTGGGGCTTCCCTGGTGGCGCAGTGGTTGAGAGTCCGCCTGCCGATGCAGGGGACACAGGTTCGTGCCCCGGTCCGGGAAGATCCCACATGCTGCGGAGCGGCTGGGCCCTTGAGCCATGGCCGCTGAGCCTGCGCGTCCGGAGCCTGTGCTCCGCAACGGGAGAGGCTACAGCAGCGAGAGGCCCACGTACCGCAAAAAAAAAAAAAAGGTGGGGACTGGATTACAAAGAACTCTGTGTTTTAAACTAAGGACCTTTGGCTTCATCCAACAGCAAGAGAGAACCA